AATGTTAAGTTGTGATATACAACATCTGCAGGTTCCAGACTTCAACCAGGAAGCCAAGCCTACAAATCCAAGCTGGTAAGTACCTTGAATTTTTATATTGAGGCAGTGAAGTAATTTAGCTCAAGTTATTTCTTGATTTAATTTTCTCAAGTTACCGTTTTTCAGTCAATATTGTTTTCGTAAAGCGAATAGAAAGAAAAAAAGCATGTGTTGCTTTGGTTTTTGTGTTAGTATATCTTTTAATATCTGAAATGTTTACGAGTTCCGCTTTCTGGAAGTTCTAAATTTTAATTGTATTTTGACATATCATTTGTAAGTCTTCTTGGATGTTTTAAACATTAGAATTTTCCGTTAAGGATATAATGCGAGACTGAAAAATTTTTAACTGAATGTGTTAAAAAAAGATTAGAAATTCCTAGTACTTTAAATATAAGAATATTTTGTGCTATATTAAGTGTTGCTGTATCGATATTTAGTTATGATTGATATATTTATTAATTCATCTTTGAATGCATACTTTAATATACCTAGAAAATTTTGATGACCTGAATGTAAAATGTATTGTATTATCATAAAAATCCTCAGGCTGATCAATGATGACTTATTACATCATGTGCATATTATAGTGTAAAATGCCTAGAATTAGGAAAAAAGAAAGAGAATTAGAAATAACCGAAATGAAACTGCAGGCTGCAGTCGTTCAAAAAAATTTGGTCACTGGACGCTATTTACTTGAAAACCGGACTGCTGAAAAATTAGCAGAAAAACGAAATGAAGGAGTGTTATGAAAAAACGATGTATTGTGGTCTATATATGTATAAAAAATATCCGCGAAATTACCAGTATCGAAACTGAAAACTTACAAAGATACAATAAAAGAAATGAAAATGACAGACGCATAACCACAGAGGAAATTTCGCTTGCCGCTAATGAAGCAATTACTCATTTGACAGGAACTCAGCTCCCAGAAAGCGAAACTACTTCTCCTAAGGAACTGATGGGTACACTATTGTTTCTGCCCGAAACTGAGGTGAATGATCTCTCTCTTCTTTCATCAAATACGACTCGAATTTCTCACTTACAAAAAGAAAGTAACAATTTGAAATACCCGTTTACTTAGCATATTTAATCTCTCAAAGTTGTTCTTCAGAAAGTAGTTATGAAGTAGGAAACGGAGAGTCATTTAAAAGCCAGGAAGATCTGGAAAATGGTCGGAAACTACTGATCATTCCCGAAAAGGTTCAGGAAACGAATATAGATGCGTGTGAAAGTTTACGTAAGGGTGGAATCAAGATCGCCCTTTGTTTAGCTTCTCAGTACCCGGATGCTATTCCGATAATAGACATAACTTCTACTACTGTGGAGGATGCATTACTGCATCTTTCCATCAGAATAGGAATTTATGAAGAAAAGAGACAAAAACTGACATAACCAAAGTTCCTTGATCGTACCGAAATAAAGAAATTCGGTACGATCAAGGAACTTTGGTTATGTCAGTTTTTGTCCTCGTAAAAACCAGTCAAATTCTCGGTCCATTCGATAGAGCCTGGTAAATTCGGAAGTAGGTTTGTAGAGTCATTACGATTTTTTCGAAGCCAGAAAAAATGAAAAATAGCAAACCGCCGGGAATCGAACCACGGACCTCTGGAATACCGGCCCAGCGTGCAGAACCACTACACCACGAAGAACGCTAGGAAAGTGGGAGAAATACCTTATAGGTTGTCCGAAACTAATTGTATTGAAAATTTACAGGGAAGAAAGAAAGATCTACAGTTGGCCATTTTACTGTGTTAAAGCTTCATACAGGGATAACTAAAGGAGACTATTAGCTTTATTTCATAGATGAGGTTAATCAAATTGATAATGAAATGTTTTTTTTTTTTTTTTTTATGTTGACGTCAGTTCAAATGTTTATGATTATTTTTATGTTATTAAGTGCAGTAATTCAGGCTAAAGTTTCGGGTCTCCGTAAAGAGATTTACAAAAACTGATAAATAAATATCTGAAAGACGTTCCTTTTCAGTCTGGATTAATGCATAGTGATCAAAAAAGACTCGTTAAGGATACCCTTCTTTGGGTGTGTATCCGTTACTCTTCTTGTAAGAATAAGGAAACGAGAGCTTTATCTGTGACATAGTGAGAAAGTAAGACGCGTTCAAATGTCGAGAAAGCTGTTGTCTTTTCCTTTTTGTAATAATACTGTTATGTTAATTTGTTAATTAAAAAGAAAGTCTATGCTAATTTTCTAAATAAATCTAAAAATAAAACTTGTCTAGTTATTTCCATTCCGGAATTTCTGCAAAGTTACACCAGCTATCACTGGTGGCGGAGCCTGAATGTTACACGCTTAATTCTTTGGAGAAAATTTATCTTCTTGTGTTTAGTGTTCATCTCTGTTAAGACTTGAAATAATCCTCTTCGATCTACACTTGTTTTAATTTTAAAAACATTCTAATAAAATAAAAAAATGAGCTGGTCTCCAAGTACTTTTTGTTAAATTAAATCGAGGAAACATTCATGAACCTCAAGTTTCAAGAGTTTTAATTATACATGCCATTAACTAAATCTCATTTGTATCTTCTCCATAAATGTAAGCGCGTTTTCAAAAGCGAATGGCTGAAACTACGCATATTTTTCCTTCATTGAAATGAATAACTTTTCGAATAAAGAAAGGGAAAAAAGATAGTATTATATGACCTTACCTTCAAACTCCTTTTGGTTTAAATTCAAAGATATAAAGAAGGACATTCGAGAAAGGAGAAATTTATTATCAACACGTTAAATTATAAAAATATTTTATGAGAGTCATGTGCTTCCTTTTTAAAAAGCATTTAAAATTCACATCACGCAACTCGTTGGTTACACCTATCGCAGGATCTGAAAATAAGAAACAAAAATAAATTTCGTCATTATTATTAGCCCAACGGTTCATTCCAGAAAGTTACATATATCGTAGTAATTTCTTTTTCCCCCATTTCTAATATATGAATCATTTGAAACAAACTCATTTGAGTTAGACGAAAATTAAAATTAATTTTTTTTGTTGTTGTTGCACAAGTTTCTATCTCTTTTACATCTGATTGTGACGGCGATTTCTAAATTTTTAATATATATAAACAATTTAGTGGCGCTTATAGAAGATTTTATAGCTTCAAGTTTAAATTTCAAATATACCGTTTCTTATAACTACATTCATGTGCAGAATTAACTTTATATGCATCACATCACGGATTTCTCAGAAACTTGGAACTATAATTTTATGATTTTGTGTGAATGATACATAACATCATAACACATAAGTAAAAAGGAAAAAAAGCAGTGCAACTGCAAAAAAAATAAATAAATAAATAAATAAATAAATAAATAAATAAAAATAATAAAAATAAAATAAAATAAAATTTGCAATAATATGCTACAAGAATAGTTCATGGGGGGGGGAAGAGTAACTTTGAAACAAATTAAGGCTTATAAGGTACTTTCTCCCTCGTTCCGCATGCCTTCGTGGTGTAAAAGTAGCACACTTAGCGTGTATTCGAGAGGTTAAGAGTTGGAGTTCCGTGGAGGGCATTGCACATTTTTCCCGTCTCCAGCTTCAAAAATCCTAATGACTATACAGGCTTATGAATATAATGCGGAATGGGTTATCCCCTGACTTGTACACAAACATATCATTGCGTGTTTTTGTGGTGGTAATAAAGTTGCTAATCACAGTTTGGGAATAAAGTTCCATTCATTCAGCAATGCGGTCTTCAAGGTATTTACATCTTTAGGGCGAAAACGTCTTCGTGCAACTACTTTTCCAAGGTGGACCCGTCAGTTCTTTATCAAGTCAAGATCAGAAGATTTTGCAAACCACCGTATTCTTTCAATGTCTTCGCTTTCAAGGAATTCGTCAACGAGGTTTGTTCGATAACGGAAAGCATTACCGTTCATAAATAAAATGTCAGACCCATGTGCACCTCTAAAAACTTTTACAAAATTGTCCTAAGACCTCATCACGGTGTATTTGGCTTGTCACAGATCCGCTGTTGAAAACGTGTAGGCGCGTACATCCATCAATCGTTATTCCTCTCCATACCATCACAGCTGCATTACCGAAACAGTCGCGTTCCATAATGTTCCAAAGAAAATTGTGCGTTCTTGACTGCTTTCAGATGTAAACATGTTTAGAATCAGATGCTAAACTAAACCTCGACTTATCATTAAAGAGGACATGGGACCATTAGTGTTAAATTCAGTTCTGATGCTCTTTGCATCAATTAATGCCATTACTCTGTTGTTGTGACGACAGTTAAAAACATACCTTTGGCTTTCTGGCATAAATGCTCTTTTCAGCGCAGAGACTTTCATACATTTCATCGCTTCCGCGATTCTCTGCGTTACTTCTAAACAACCGATGATTCGTAACTTCACAGATTCTTTCAAGTATTACTTCGGAACCATAACCATTTCTTAAGCGTCCTTACAAACCGAAGTCAATCGCTGTATTGCAGAAATTCACTTTTCGCAAAGCGTTCGATTCACCTTCAGATGACGTAATGCCTTGGCTTGCATATCAGAAACCGTTAATCAGGTTTGACTAGATAATACAAATTAAGCTTGTCTTTCACCCCTTTCCTGCAAAAATAAATTACACAGATTGGATATTTCATGGAATATCATTATTTTTGGGTATGTAAAGGTAAATTTGGATTTGAGTGTGTAAATAATGAATACGTATTATAACTAGTGAACCTACACTGTAAAAAATTTCAGTACAATGTTGCACCATTTAATGGTTCAATATTCGAGGATGAACCAAAACATGGTTCACTTGTTTTTTTAACAGCATCGATAAATGGTGAAACTGCAAGAACGGTTCAAGTTTTCACCATTTCCTGGCAACGTGTTACAGCCAATCAATGCAAACCCTTTCAGCGCAAGCGCGTCAGCCTATTTTTACCACCATCTTTAAAAACGCTGTGGTGGTTGAATATACGTACGAAGTCTGTAGCTAGTACATCAAAAATCTGAAGAAAAATAAAAGTCCTGGATATGACAACATTACGAACCAGATGATCAAGAATTTCCCTAGGAAGATTATACTACGTTTCACCAAGATTATCAATATCATCATCAAATGGCAGCATTTTCCTGAATGTTGGAAGGTTGCAGTGATCACACCAATTCTTAAGCCTCAAAAACCTGCGAACGTTCCGGAATCCTATTAGTTATCCTATTATCTTTCTTAGTGCAGGCAGTAGACCTATGTACTGTTGTTTCTGTTCTTGCTAGTGGCTTTCCTGGACGGCATTTTCTCTATGTGAATCATGTACGCTCTCATTGTTCATTATTAATCATCCTAACTTCATTATTAAGCCCATATATATATATAAAAAATTCTTATAAAAAATTCTTAAAAAAAATTTCGAAAATAAAAATTTGAAAAAGAAAAGAAAAAAATGTGTATTAGAAATCTTGGGCATATTTTTAGTTTGCATTCTGTTCGAACTAGCGTATTTTCGATTGGGGGGTAGGGTCCTTTGACCCAGGCACCCCGGTGGTACACCATCACTCGTTGCGTACATGAATATACGTACGTGGAATTGAAAATTACAAGGTATGTATATTTTTAGAATATTCATTACCATGTTTTGACTTATGTATGTACTTTTTTAATTTATTCGCATCTACGCATTGATTTATGTACGCATATTTTTAGTTTATTCATAACTACGTATGTTTATAGAAGTTTATTTTTCTTAGCTAGTATATAAGAAATGGCTCCGAGTAAAGCACTGAAAAGAGATTCTCATATATTCTTACGATAAAATAAGTAAATTGTTCATAACATAATGTATAGTTTCGCAATTGGGTAAATATATGTATTTCTATAAGAACTTTGGGATTTTTTTTTTTCCTACTGCATGCAACCGGAGACTATATTTGGATTCCCGCTTCAGGATATTTTGCATCGAATGTCTATATCAGTTTCTTATTCAGACTTAAAACAAAAGTTCAGTAAAGACCTGCAGACTCTACATTCCTTATAAACCAAACATAAATTTTTGTAATAATTGTTTTCTGCTGGTAAGAAAATTATTTTTGAAATAATGAGATGATGCATTAGTAGCTAGACTAACGATTTCGAACATCACTTATAGGGTGCAAACAGTATTAGTACAATTTAATTTACTTTTATTGTTTTAAATACAGTACTAATTTATGTATATGCATGACTGAATGTTTTCCTGTTCTCTTTAAAGTTTTTTCTTTTATTTTATTCCGATTTCGGTTAATCTTCCATAAGCGGGGGGGAGCGAAACTTGGCAGGTGTTTATTTGGCGCGATTGTTGAGCGAAAGGTGTTCAAATGTGTTGAATTCCATGGACGATATTAGCTTGTATATTTTAGTTAGTTGTTAATAAGGATATGCTTCTCTTGCATTTTGCGTCATTTTCGTTTGGCAATATTAAAATTTACATCACCGTTTCTTTTTGCAATTGGCAATTGCTAAATGAAGTCTGACATCGAAAACGAAAATAGTTTGGCGCCAGCTTACCCCGCTCATGGAAGATTAGCCTCGATTTCCTTACTATATTTTCTGATTATCATGCCGTCTGTTTTAAGCATTATTGAGAAGTTTCAGGGAGTGTTAATGGGGAATTTAAAGTTTGTTTTCAAATGAAAGGATGATGGCGTTAGGAAAGCCTGGTGTAGTGAATAGGCTTTACATTAATGCCTTTTACATTAATGCCAAAAACAACAATTATCATTATATTTCTTAAAGGAAGCAGGTTTAATAAAGAGGGAATTTGCACGCGGAAAATGAAATTTAAAATTAAAAAGTCAAATCGTTTTATGCGGGTATGTAGGAAAGTTACGGCAGGAATGTGAATTTCAAATTCAATTCGATATCCGTCATGGTTTTCTAACAGTAAGCTGAGGATGGATAAAATATTTTTCTTAACATTTGAAACGCTCAGAAAGACTAAAACTGGAGCTATTCAAGAGGCGTATTTATTGGTTTCTAACACATTAGCAGACTGCTCATATAGAGCTTGGTTGCTGATTTACTGCCAGATTTTATTGCCAGAATATTTACATATGTCACTGACATGTCAGTTATGTTATAAATCCGTATAGTAATGCAGTACAGTTCACACTGCCACTAAGATTACATATGCTCAATATGGTATGGTGGTTGTCACACCAGTAGAGGGTATTCATGGAAGGAAGTTCAGCTATAATTCCATGTTCAGCTAAAATTCCATAAAAATTTTTTTCAGCATGGCCAGGAATGTCAGCTGATCTCTTTATACCTGCGGTTTAAAATAGCCATAGTCAAAAGTCGTAAGGTATAATATGTAGAGACCTTGTTGGCTATTCGTGCATGTTAGCAATTCAGGGCGTGGACATTTTCATGTGTCGATTATAGAAGATACAGGACAGGATTTGTGGCGTGTAGAGGCACTTCATCTTGTGTGAATATTATATGACTTATTCTGGCAATAAAATTTTTTGCTATTAAAAAGTAAGTCCATTACTATAAATTTTATTGAATTTTTTCTTCCCCAATTGTTTTTTAGGTTCCTGCTGATGCTGAAAAAACGCTACAGTCAGTTTCACCTAAATTTTTTTCAGTTGGACATACTGCTTCTTCCTCTTACTTCTGTGTAGTTACAGAAAATGAAACTTTAAGTGTCTCAAAAGACTTTACTTCGGCTGTTGCGTTACTGCATGCTATTACTACACTATGAATATAAGCTATCCAAAGGAAATATCTTGTACTCTTAAATTTTTACAGCATTCTTTTTTAAATCAGTGGTAAAATACCTTGTAATGTTATGAATCTTCATCATAAGATGTCATTAAAGTAGAATATTTTGTTTTCATGTTTTTAGATTTTCTGTGCAAAATTCAAAACTTTTAATTTCAAGCCTACTATTATCAAGTTTTCATTTCATAATGCATATTTCACCTCCATTTTAATATATGTGCAATAAGAGTAATATATTTATTCTGAATTACAAAAACTGAAATATATTAAATGCTTCAGTTGTGATAGTTAATTCGGAAAATTAATTACTAAAATGTTTGTCAGCAGTGTATAAGCAGAGTGGCTTTATGTAGGTAAATTAAAGTTATGCAATATAATATAATTATGTTTGTTTATATGTATATATATGCAGCAATCAATATAAAATATTTCTTGAATTATTAATATTCTTGTGTAACAGCTGCGCATTATTTCAATCTCTGATTATTTCAATATGTTCTTCCTTAACTTCTTTCTAATGATTTTTTTAGTACTGTTTTTTCATTATCTTATATTTTAACATTTAGATTATCGAGAGATACGTTTAATCTCTTAGAAAATAAAACCTGCTTTTAAACAAAAAATTTCATTTGAATCCTTGTAAAATTTACTTTGTGTCATAGGTATGCATGTTACGTTTTAACATACCTTCATAATGCATTTTAACCTATACTATAAATGAAGTTCTTAAGGTCTAGACTAAAAGAATTTTCCAAGTAATATTTGTCAGAATCTCCAACTGTTTAATCAGCTTATAAATGTCATAGAATGTGAATAAAAGTACGAATTATGCATAGAATAATTTATTTTTACATCTAATTTTAATCAACTAAATATTTATTAATTATACACCAGAAGCAATGTGTAACTTCATTTTTATGTTGGAAAATGCCTCTCTCTCTTTTAGATTTAAATATTGCAAAATCAAGAGTTCCTGACGGAATCGATATCAATAGTTGAACATGCACCAGCAACAGATCGGCATATTCAAATTTTATTTCAAAAAATGTAATAATAAAATTGATAATTTTGTAGTGATATAAAGCTATATCAGATGGTAAGAAAATATTTATACAAAATAGGGCAATACACAAATGCTACTTTCTGTTATTGAAAAAAACTGTATATCTTCACAGAGGACATAAATGATATCACAACTAATTTGCGATATATCTTATATTATGCTGCAGTAAGAGTTATTTCCATTGAAGAAAAATCTTAAGCCTAATCTGCAAAGTTTTGGAATTTGAAAGCTATTCGAAAGAAACATTCCAAAATAAATATTGTTGCATTTAACCAACATTATTGGCTTTCCTCTCTTGGTACCTACTGGAAGCAGGCTTTAGTCAAATCAATTTACCATGGAAAACAAGTTGAACATGTTTTATGTGATTTAAGAATTAAACAATTTTATGCAAAATATTAAAAAATTGTGTTGAAGCTTTAAATAAAATTTAATATTCAAATGCAATCTGCGATTTTGCTTCTGAAAACTTGTTTATAAAATTAAAAACAAAAAAAAAAAAAAAAAAAAACATGAAACTTATTAAAATTTCTAAACTTTTGTTGATAGTTTAATTGTCATATGAAGTCATTTGCATAATCAATATGTTGTATGCTGTTTGTTATATAGAAAAAAAGTAATAGTCGATTGATATAGGTTATTAATTGTATAATAGGATATATAATAATTAATAACTTATTGCACTGGGTCAGAGAATTTGGGAGCGATTATACGAAAACTGCCATGGGTTTCAAAAGCAAAATAAAGTAAGGGAAAAAATTAAATTTTTGTTTAATTTTAATTACTTTTTTATGGGTGGTATACAAAATAAAATCTGTTACGAAATATAGAGAGTTTTTTTAACTTCTTGCTTTCAGAAAACGAGATCCTCTTTCTAAAATTGCGATGTTAGGGCTCTAAAAGATTTCGAGTTAAGTAAAAGCTCGTCAGCCTTATTTTCGACATGCAGATAAATAAAGTGTTTTATGTTATTGTAGGTGTGAATAATTTGTAAAAATCTTAATATTACTTCTTGCATAAAAATAAACTAATATTTAATATCATAAATACATTTCTGACAATATTATCAGAAAGAGGTACTAGCGTTGTGCTGAGAGATATTATGACGATGAAGGTTGTAGAGAAATTTAGAAAGGAGTCTTGATCATTCGCGGTGCAGTCATTTAATAGAAGCTAGAAGTAAGGCGGGAAGGTGAAACGGCAAGGGAAGGCACGGTATATTGCAGCGGAAATTGTTCTTTCGACTGAGATCCTTATAGTTTAGTGGAGAAGACGCAAGACTTCGAAACCTGAAGGTCCCGGGTTGGAAACCTATCCAAGGCAAGATGCCTGATAATTGGTTTTTATGTAAATATCCTTCTTATTGGTCTGTTTTCTTTATGTTACAGCATGTTCATCAGCTGTATATAAGTAGTTCTTCATTCAGTTCGGAATAACAAAAGTCTTGAGTTTGTTATTCCGAACTGAACTTGAGTACTTGCCTGTTCATTTGTACGATCCCTTCATCTACGCGACAATATTATCAGAAATAATCCTAATATTACTGGATTAAAACGACAATATATTTTATTCGGGATGATAGAAGTAAAAAATATATATATATATATATATAACTTTTAGTTATTATTTTAATTAAAGTCTTTTAAAGAGACCTATGCATTAATCACAGTTTTATAGGATTATTTTTAGGTCATGTGTTTTTCGGTTATATGTGCATATCTGTACCATAATTTTTATGGACAATGTTGGACTTAACGCAATACCATAATTGAAATTTAAGCTCTCAATGCGGGAAAAATTAGGAATGCATTTCATCGCAGAGTGGCAAAATGCATAACTAATAAGACTTGGGTTACTTACCAAGGTAAAAAGATGATAGAATCTATTAATCCAATAAAAAGAAAATCGTCTGTTGCAAGGGAGCATCGCCTCCCAAACAAACGCATTCCAGGCATTTTTGGCACTGATTAGATTATCTTCATCCCAGATTTGATCCAAAGTCTCCTGAAAATGAAAAGGATGAATTAAACAACCTTATATCTAAAAAAAGGTAAATTAAAATAAGAAACGGCAAAAGTAAAATAAAAACAAGTAAATTGCAATTTATGCAATACAGATCTCAGTTCAGTATTACATCAGGAATATTTGTTTATGATAATAAAACAGAACTTGTTAACGCATCATAAACTTTCACATTAATAAATATATCTGCGGTCGGCATTTCATGCTCACCGCTCTTTGAGATCCTCTTTCCTGCCCTTAAGCGCCCTCACGTTGGCGATCAATAATATTTTCATTATCATTTGTCAACAAAGTAAGGGAGAAAAATACTTTTGACATTAAAAATGTTATTATCGTTTTTAATTTTAAAAGTTTCTCCCCCCCCCCGTATCGTTCGTAAACCTTCACGTTAAAAAGTTAAAAAGAGTCTTTTCAAAACATTAGGAGCGTTTTACTACATCATGGATATTCCGCATTTGTCATGCACACGACAAACCTATCTCAATTTACTGCATCATCCCCAAACCAATCAGTCAGCTTGTAGAGGACTCGTGGCCAATGGCCTTAACGATCCTTTTTGGTTAAATATTGTTTTAATAAGCTATTAATTGATCTAATTTTAATTATCTATCTAATTCGCATGATTTTAATGTGCACAACATATTAATTATTTAATTCATTTAACGCAATTATGCCCATAATTTTATAACACTTGTAATGTTTCATTAGTTAATAAACCATGTTTCTAACAATATATGTTATACATCTAGAACTAACTCGTCTGATCTTTTATAATCAGCAAAAGTAAGTCTTCTTCAAATAATTTATTTTCTAATTAAGTAGATATTGTCTTAAATTATCTTTTTCTACTAATTTTTTACCACCATGGCATTTTTTGTGATACATGTAATCTTACTACACAAAACATCCATTACATGACACGGTTATAATGCAAGTAATTAATTGTATATTTTTACATAAGTAGATCATTTTAGACCACTGTTATGGAATATTATTTTGTGCTAGATTTTTTACAACTCCTTTCTTCCAAGTATCGCAGCATACCATTGAGTAATAGTCCCAAAAGATGGCTTTATTTCAGAACCTTTAATCACATACTTACAAAGCAGACAGACATCTTATATTAGAAAAGGCGAAGAGGAAAAAATGTGTGTGGCTTGGATCCACCCAGCTGATCAGTGTTTATGAATCTTTAACAATGTTTTTAATCGAAACAATGTGTACTGTGAAGTTTTCGATTAATTTCCGCAATTGATTTATCTTGTTAACTTTACTGCTCATTGTTGCGCAAAGTTTGAGTTATATTTTAACTGACCCATCTTCCTTTAAGCTTTATTTAATATTTATTTATTCACTACTTAACTTCGTTTAATCTGCGTTTCGTCCTATCGCTATATCTCAAAACGCATATGAAACGTTTACTTTATTATTTGCTCCGCCGTGCTTTAATTATTGCATTTTGTCACGGCGCAATAGAAACGGAGGGTTGCCCCGTTGAAAAATTTTTTAAGGAAAAGTGATTCATATCCACGTTACACAAGAGGAAAACAACGAAAACGCCCACGCGGACAGCTCGATCGCCATAACTCGAACTCCGAACCAAACTATCAGTGTTTACCGGCTTTTACCGTTTGTGGGCTGTATACAGGTTTAATGTTGGATTCGATTCGTTAGAGAGTTAGAGGCTTACTAATTTAATTACAATAAATCTTTCACGTCGAGTCTTTTTGAAATAAAAAGAGTTACAGATATTTTGTAGCAGATGAATATAGATTGGGAAATGCAATCATAAAAAACTGTGCTTTAGAAAAAGAATTAATATAATAAATACAAAAATAAAGAGAACAAAACAATTTTAAATTATTAAATAAGAATTAAATAATTATAATCACAAATAAATATATATAAACGAAAAATAAAAACGTCAGCTATCGCTATTTTGTAGTTTGAAGCAAACTCATCGCATCATGGGAACCAACATTTTATGAGATTCATTCAGAAATTTTAGTTTATTGCTAAACATCAGATTCATTCCCAGTTTTAACAAAGATTTAATATAAGCTGCAAGCTTAGAAAAGTAATGTACTGTACATGAAAGCAATTTAGAAATTGCAAAAAAAAAGCAAGGAATGGGAAAATTTTAACCAAAACTCAAATACTGACATGATAAACAGAAACATAAGACTTTTTTTTTTTAATGGTACAATATTATAAAAGATCTTACTATGTAAGAGAAGTACTCTGCTATCTCCAAGATTTACTAAAAGTAAGAAGTGAAACTGAAAGAGATAATTACTTTAAGACTGTACTCACTGAATGTGTTTGCAGAGTAAAGCTACTTAGCCTTTTCAAGGAAGTTCCTTGATACTGTGCCCTTGTTGGAATTGTTAAGGAAACATTAGGATGATTTTTAAGTTCGTGAAAAAACTTTTGTTTAACTCTTTGAGGAGTTGAAGTTATCTTTGTGAAAGATGACAACATAGAAGTTACGTATAAAAATTTTTAAGATGTTCATAAAAGCAAGGAAAATGAAATGATAAAAGTTTTTGCAAAATTTCGAAAAGGAAGACGGATTTAAAAGGTAACAATAATACATTAATGACGTATTAAGATAAGGATAGTTCAGGAGAAAAATAATCATCTGAACCAATCCGTCGGAAACTGAACAGGATGATGCTCGATTCTGTATACAAGATTGCTGAGGTGAATACAGAATGTGGAAGGGAGGTAATAGAACTACATCCTGCTTTCTGTGTTTTCTGACGTATCTAAAATAATCCAAAAACAGTGCTTACATATATTGTGAAGAAAAGCATTGTTTCTGCAACATGATGAGGTTCACAAACATGTGCAATTAAGATTTCTTTTTGTTTTAAAATTAAACTCTTCTAAATTTACAAATAGATCTAGTTATATAAATTAATCAGATAAGTTATCTCACATAGTTATCTCATACAGATAAGTTATCACAATATAAAGAATAAACTTTTCTAGAACCATTATTTAATTTTTAATGAAGCCATCATCCCATTTATTTGACAAATCAAACATTCACAATATTGCCAAAAAAAAAAAATGATCAAATAAATCTTACAAAATGATTTTTTCTTCCGCTTCGAAATAACCTAATGACTCTACATATTTTTTATATAACCTATATTTATTAAACTATGAAAAATATATATTCATTAAACTTTGAAATATATTAATTAAACTGATATATCCATTAAACTATAACAAATGGCTTGAAAGTGATAGTCAACCATACGAATCCGAGGAGTCTTCCTGAATTTTTAGTTTTTAGAATTAGCCGCCCAGATGAGAGATTCTAACCTTCCGGCCCTCGGTTCGAATCCCGGAGAAGGCATGGATATAATTTGTCCTTCCCGTCAGAGGGTGTAACGGTGGCCCATCTATTAGGTGCCGCCGTAATAAAGAGACCACCGTTTCCGGCCTTAGTAGTGACCAACGTTTATTAACGGCTAGAGCCCGCCATTGGAGGAGGGGAAATATTAGAAATTAGCGAAAGTACCCGATGCTAGTTGCGTTAGATTGAGAGTAATTTACCTAACAGAGAGAAGGATACCGCTGTAATCCTTATCTAATAGCGATCCAAAAATTACGATTCATAGTCATACATTTTTTACTCTCATGCAATGTGAAACTCGCATAAAAAATTTCGATAAAAAATAAACTAATTCTATCTCATTATATCCAGCAACAATGGTCGTAAAAGCTCAAGTTCCGTCCAATATTTCACCTATATTCAATTTTAGTCGATTAAATGTGGCAAAAAAAATGTATCATAATTGATCAGAAACCAATAACACGAACAAGCGCACACACAAAAAGACATTCTTCTTTATAAATATAGATTTTGTAAAACTTACTAATTTTTTATTAATAAATTCTCCTATTTGAAAGCGAGCAGTAGCAACACTTTTCGAAATAAAGCATATTTATCTCCAACGCGCGAGACTGTTGCCACTCGGGAAAATGACAGCGAAAATTTGTGTTTTCAGAGTTTTTAATTAATATTTCGGCTGATTAAAGTCGTACAAAGATGGGAATAGTCGAAATGGCTTCTCACGAATTTTTGGAATCGGAAATAATGTATTTAATGTTTGACAATGCTACTTTTATTTCATTGTAAAACTTCGAAATTTTTATTAACGAACTGTACGATTGAAAACCAGCAGTGCCAACACTTCTCGAAATAAACCAGCAGATTTTTATCTCCAGCGTGCGAGACTGTTGCCGCTCGTTAAAAAGAGAGCGAAAATTAGCGTTTTCCGAGTTTTAATTAATATCCTTTTTTTTTTTATTTTTGTTTGTTTGGAAAAATGTGGACGTCGTCCTTTTCCAGGACCCAGAGAAAAACCGTAGAAAGTTTGGTGACGATAGCTATAATTGTGGCTGAGTTAATCGCGAACAAACAAACACATAGACATTCTTCTTTATATATATAGATAATATGGGTCGCCTTGGATATCGGGTTTCTTCTATATACTTAAGAAATAAAACTGCGATACTCTTTCATAGTACAATTTTTTAAGATTGTTTTTCTTTTAGGGCAAGGAACTTATAAATAAATATAGTAACACATGAAGAAAGGCGTAGAAATTATTTTTACAAACCAGATGACTCTGTGTCAGGTACGTAAAATATTGCATTAACATCTATTTAACAGCTACAATAATGTACTTCCACGTGTAGGTTTAGTTTAGTTTATTTGATTATGTTTAAGCACATGACAGCTATCTGCGTTAAGGAAGATGACTTGTTAAGAGAAACTGGCTCGTACCACGTTATACATAGTAAAACCAAAGAATCTCTAAGGAAAAGAATGAAAGCTTCCATAGACGCAATATAAACCTGTTTCGCCTCTGCGCCGCTATACCGAAGAGCCACGGCTATGCAGTGAAACACCAGCGCAGGGTGAAATTTAGATAGCGCCGTCCGAGGAGATAGTAAATTTTTTACTTCGAAATAATTCAAAATGTTTTATTTTCATACATATCTGAGTTTTATGAGCAAAATGCTGTTAGTTGGAATTTTGGGCGAGTTATAGGAATCCTATCCAATTTTTACTTTCAATTTAAACACGAGCCATACGAAGACAAAATTTAAATGAAATAAATTTCTTAGTACTTAACAGGATTCAGAGACTTTTGTTTTAGATGAATTGTGAAGTTGATCTTTTATGTTCTTATCTTTAATTGTTTTGCATGGAACATCCTAAGTTCAACTGCAAAATGAATTTTAAAAAAAAATGAATAAATTTTATATTTTTTTCATTTGATATAATATCCAGCATTAATTTATAACTACTGCAATTAATTACATAAATAACGCTATTTTGTAATTGTTTTCATATCAAGCATATTATTAAATATTAAAATAAAGAATAACATATTTTAAGTAAAACAATATTTATTGACACTTCTCAAGTTTCAGAATATAGGTATGCAAAATAATTTTAAGCATCTTCACAAATACCAAGGAATTTTTTAGACAATTATTTGGAATGACCATTATGAAAACCATGAGCAATGTTTGCAACCAAGAGCCAAAATCATATCACTTAAATTAACAAATACAAAATTACACTTAAAAGGTCTTTTAAAGAATTTCACATAAATTATTAAAATAGCTGATTTCATTCTTTTTTCGCAAAATACTCAATACTTCTTACATTTATTCATATAAGATTAAATACTTAATTTGAAAATCAAACCTATAGGTATTATTAAAACCTGGGAAGAAATTTTGTAAATAATTTACTGAATCAAATAAATATTATTATATCAAACAAATATTGTAGCCATTGGGACAAAAATTATTTCAAATTATAAAATTAGGAATAATTTTTTTTTAAATAAAAATTACAAAAATGATTTTCTTTGATGACACAATTTTCTACCTTCGCTATAAAACTAATAATTGTAAAATTGCTGTATGCTTGGATTTTTCATTTTAATTTTGCAAAAGATCTATTTAATCCAAAATTATTCAACAAATGGGTACATTTAATTCTGTAAACTTAAAAAGGGGGGAAAACATTGCCATACAATACGTAATAAATTTTTATGAATCCATAGTTAAAATTTTACAGTGAAATTTTAAAAGCAAAATTTGCTTATAACTAACTTAAACAGAAAAAATAATTAAAGACAATCCAACAATCCAAAGCACCCCAAAATAAATTGAAAACACTGAAATACATTATAATTATCCGACAATAACTTTAAAAAAAAATTACAATGAAAACGTTCAGACAATTATTTGGAATGACCATTATGAAAACCAAGAGCAAAGTTTGCACCCTATAGCCAAAACCATTTCACTTACAACATTACATTTAAAAAGTCTTCTAAAGAATTTTACATAACTAGAACCAAGCAGGACTTAGAAGAGAAGGGCTAGCTCATAGAGCTTTTTCCCCTGAAGCAGAAAGTGAGAAGTGATGACGTAGCCATGATGACACTGAGCGCGCCAATATAATTCACAGCTTGGAAATTAGCGTTTTTGAACCAGCTTTTAAAATGAGCTGTGTGTGAAAGATAGCTATAATTTGGAAGAAGCAATGTTACTGCTTTATGCATTTTAGACTGAACCATTAAAAAATTTAATAATGCTTACTCAATGTTAAAATAATAGATAAAATGTGCTACTCTTTTAACATAAAGTTCCGTGGTTTTTTTTTTTTTTTTTTTATTTTTATTTGCAGGTTTTTTTTTTTATTTAATGCACGTTTATTTCTAATCATTTCTTTATTTGCATTCTAACTGAGAGAATGTTTATACTGCTTCTAAGATAACTATAATAGCAGCTATTTAAATTTTACTCAAAAAACAACTTTACATTGACATAGATTTAAACATACTCGTATATCACATATATGGCAACATTTCTGCTAACCTACTTTTGATATTTTGACAAATTGTAAATTTTACATTGTTATAATTCTCTTCCGATTCAATATAATAGATATTTTTTAAATAATTTGTAATTTATACTTATATCTATATTACAATTAAATAAATGTATATAAAACTGTTACCTTAATTTTGACAAAATAGCTTTATTCAGAGTACCTAAAACAGTTATTTAATTTTTCAAAAGTGTGAGTAAAGGAAGCAGGTCTTTTTATGCCAATTACTTTGATGTTTTATACTATTATATTTTATCTAGAATGCTAATCTAGCACAAAATCTAATCAATAATTAGTTACAAAGGATACAATAAGAATAACTTTAACAAGTACTTAACAAAATTAGTTTGTTAAATACTTGTTATTCTTGTTGGTACTATTCATTATACCGAAGATATTATCGATTAACTCATAGAAGTCAGATGCTTTCTGATTTCCTGTGCGGTAGAGTATACCTTTTGCGGTACTTTTTGAAAATAATGTTTTCTCTGGAGCGACTTTTTGTCTCTCGTTTCCCTTGACCATTAAATAATTTGGTTTTAGTTTGTGACACAATTTAATTTCTTCTCAATCTCTATTTAAAACATTCTTTAATAATATCAAAATTTAAAACAGTTCCAGCTTCTAAAACAAATCCTCTATCTAAAACGCGGTTTCTCAGTAATTTGAGGCAGAGCGTGAAATGAGACCTCTGATTAAAACAAACTGCACATTTTGAAAAGAACCGAGAACTTAGTCCAGTTTAGAGTCATAGCAGAGTTTTCAATCTATATGCATTTGCATTTCGTCGAAACTGAGAACGCATATTTTTTCTACAGAATACAAATATTCACCTCTTTCCTTCTTTAGAGTAAGAACATTACTTTGAATTCTTGGACTACACTAAAATTTAGAAAACACTAAAAAATAAAATAAACACCATTTCTTTAATTTGATAATACTAGGTAAAGATATTCCAATTTTTTTCTTAATTTTTTTTCTTTCCAAAAATCATAGCTTTAAGATGGCAGAGCTCTTATGACGATGCAACGTGAAATATTTTCACTAGTCCACCGGATTTTTTTCTTCTTTTTCAGTAATGCATTAATCTGCGTCTTTATAAAAATAGGCTTTAGACATTTTTCCAAATTCTCCGATTTGTGCTCCCCACCCCCCCCCCCCCCCCCGAAATTTCGCTATTTGAGATTTTAATTTCTGATACCAATTTCTGTCTAGATGTCGTCCACCCTCTTTGTCGCTGAACAAACATTCTATTCTAAAATTTTCTTTCTCTCTATTTTTCAATACTTTAATACAATTTAATACAATTTTCTAAGGATATTATTTTGTTCTTCAAATTATCAATGCATTCTTGTTTATCCTAAAACATTCAGGATGATCTACATTTTCATTTGTGAGTTTTATTTCAAAATCATTAAAATTTGATTTATTATTGTCATCATAATTTATTTTCGGCACAGCATTCCATTTCAACAGTTTCTTTTTGTGGCTATCCAAACAAGCGATTTTTCATATCATCTTCATAAATACTGCATAGAAAATGTTCGCTGCAGATTTTTCCGCTCTTCACATTAATAGAATCTTCTCTTTGACATTTGTGTATCCATTCTTTCGTCAAAAGCAAACTCTCATTTGGATCCTTTGGTCCCATGAAATAAAATATCTCATCCTTTCATACTTCTGTAAGTGCTACGGCACGTTACTGCAGCGCAAAAAGCCATATTACATAAACGATAATTTACAACATAGAATTTAAAATAAAAACTGACTAAAATTACATATATATAAATTATTTTAAATATATACATTATTAGAAAACAGATATATATATTATTAAAATTAATTTGGGATATGTAACCTCTAGAAAATCGTCTCGCAGCTCAATGAAACTACTGTTTTAAACGTGGGAAATCAGGACAGGTGGCATCACAGTGACGTCAGATTATTGCCTGTTACGTCCCCCCATTAGGCTCGCGTCGGCGAGGAGTCGAACAAAGAAATGAGCTAGCCCTTCTATTATCCCTGAGAACCAAGTACCTCTGACTACAATAAAGAACCTTTTGAAACAACGCGGTAAAAGATTGCTAATATGGCCGACGGCATGCTAGATGTTATTTCGCACATGCGCAGTGAGGTACGGAGGGTGGATGAATTGCCCCTTTAAAATAAGCTTCAGGGATATACATAATGTGTCTCTTCGGTCTGACGGAGCCACATTTGCCTCGGAGGCGTAATGGCAAACCGCACATTGAGTTGAACAGTGTTAAACGAATGTCGCATACTGCGCATGCCCAGAAACAAATTTGGCGTAATTATTATGTTGGCACGATTTGAAAAGAGGATAAATACGGTATTTGGTAAAGATGTACCGCCATCTGATTGTAAATAAATCCGGCGTTTAAGTCTTCGTAGAGTATATGTGCAATGTAAAGTAATTACTGTGTAAAATTAGATTTTTTTCCTATACTGCTCCAACAACTGGAAAGTTGAACGATACGATCAAGTTTAAATTCGATTGAAGAGTGCACAAAATGGGTAAAGGAAGTCAGCGTAAATGCAGATGCTCCAGTGGATAGCGCGAGCTTCAAACCAAATGCTATTGCGAGATTGCTTTCAGGTATGTATATATTTTCCCATTTCAGTAATTTGATATGTTATATGTGCAATATGTGATATATTGTATTTTAACACATATACAGTTCATTAACATTTTTTTAACATTTCCTAAATTTCTATATAATGTAGCATTAAGAAAGATGTTTTAAGAAATAATTTGTTTCCTTACTGTTTTAATTTTTTCGAAAAGAAACATCATTTTCGAGAAACTTCAAGAAGAAAGTTATTAGCGTAATTTTATTACAGCTAAAACTGATGCAAGGTACTTGAGTCTTTTATCTAAAAATGTGCTGAAATGTTTTGGTTGAAGTTAATATAAAATAATGTAATGAACTCGAAATGTAATGAATTGTGGTATAAATGTAAAGAATTGGTAAAAATAAAATATAATTAGTTCAAATTTACTTAACTCCTTATATTATCAAATATCTATTGAATAGAAAAACCTGTTGAAATATTAAATGTAACAAGTTCTATTTTTAAAAGGCAGATGATTGTACAGCATGTAGGAATTGATGATGATTTTTAATAATCCTAAAGTAATAGTAAAGTCAGTACAATAAGTATATTTTGATGTATGTAATTTCATCATCAATGATTACATAACATTGCACTTTAATATAAAGTATGCTTGGATTGTTTTCATGTATGCTATATATTATTGCAAATTAGTTCTTCATAAAATTGTATATTTCTGCTGTGAAAAAGTATGTATGCAATCATGCAAGTTGTAGGAAAACATGTACGTGTACTGCACATGTACCAGGAACAGATAACAATTATGACTGTCAATCATCATTTGCTGACTGTATCTGTCAAGCTGACTACACAGACTATAGTAGCCAAAGATAAGTTGTAGAAAGTGTGTTTCATTTCAGAGTTGAATATATGAATTAAAGTTAGTAGGATAATTATTCTTAACTAAATAATAAAATTTAAATAAAACCCCTTATTTCATTTTTTATAAAATTCTCTTATTATTATGATGTGATTTCACAACCATTGACCCTCTCCTATTGTTAAATAATTCATTCAGCACTGAACAACATATTATTTTATTGGTATAAAAAATAATATATTTTGTGTGTATGACCAAGTTATGATCTAAGATTTTTCAATACTTGAATCATCCTTTTAAAGATTTTTATAAAATGATTTTTTTTTTTAATTTCAGGCATTGGCACAGTGAATGGCAGCTGAAAAATTTTGACCCTTGTTTCTGGAAGTGAAATGTTAGATGTAAGTAATGATGTCTGAGACCCTTATTACACGGCATTTGTTTCACATGAACAACTTGTTTCGGACAATTTTTCTGCCTGGTTTACTATTGAAAGAAAGACATGCGTTTTCCTTCCTTTCTAAAAAAATTGCAAATTGTTCGTTTTCAATCAATCAGCTATCAGCTTGTTTGTAATGGGGAACCAGTTTCCCATGTTAACCCCAAAGTGATCTATGATAATTGGCTGTTGTGACAAAGCAGAAAAATTGTGCCAAACAGTTATTCTTCCGAAACAAACTGACGTGTGATAGCATCCTTACTGTTAATAATACTGTGAAGCACTTAATTGTATGCTTTGCTAATGAATATGTACTAGGCAATTGTGGTTATTATGAAAGAGGTGAAATTTCAAATACAATTGTTTCAGTTACAATTATTACAGATATTATTTAATTTTGTAATAATGCTAATTAAAAATATGAATTAAGAAAATGCAAAAATTAGTGTATAAGCATACTAAATAGTTCAGAGTAAGACTTGTACTTAATTTATAGTAAGCACTCATTCACACATATGATGACTCGTACACTGATATAAATTTGATATGCTTTTATACTGTTTACATGTCTTCTATATTCAGATTTGAATCATCATCTGCCAACAAATTCAGTTAATCAGGCATTGTTGACCTTATTAGTTTCTTGCAGATGTGTGAACTTTGGAAACATTTTTAGATTTAGTGTAATTTTTTGTTTGCTTTTCAGGTTTTCACATAATATCAACTAGAAACATTACCTCTTCATTTTAAAGGTCAAAGAGATAAAATAAAAAAAAATTAATTAGTTAATATCAAACCTAAAATGTTCTTTTTATTACACAACTATTATTTAAGCCATCCAAATGGGCGCAATATTTTTATAATACTTTTATTTAATTTTCCAGTATATGTTATTGAAGCCATTCAAATCCCACTTGGGCATTTTCAAGCATATTAGTTGTTGAATATTATGTCTGACTGTAAACACACAGGCAAAGTATGTATAATTATTATGTAATTTAACCTATCTTTCCTTCAAATATTTCTTTAAAATTACAGGAGACAGGCATACATTTGAGCTTTGATTAACAGACTTAGTGTAGTCGCCATGATGGATAAGAAAACAGATGAATAATAGACCACCCATAATCACCAACATATATGCAAGAACATATAATGCAAGGATTTGAGAATAAAGATTGCTTATTAGCATAATAGTGCACTGAATATTAGATATAAAAATTATAGAACTGAAAGATTTGTCACGTATCATCTTTGCTTTATTATATATATTGAAAATAAACAGTTTGCTTCTGCAACAGAATAAATATCGAGTGTCTTGAAATGTTTTGTATACCTGGAGCTTTACAGTTCAGTACATTATACAAAGAGCAGTATATATAATGATTATCAGGTCTGCACAGAAATTTTTAATCGAAAATTCTTTTGTATAGATTTAGTTGATATTTCGTATCTTGTGTACAGATTTAGTTGATATTTTGCAAGACATGGCAATATTTCAGACTTTTATTCTAATTACTGTGACAAAACAATCATTAGAAAATTATACACGTATGAAAATTATTAATATTACATTATGTAGCTTATATTAATAATTTTTCATACGTGTATATGTAATATTTTGGCAGGCACAGGGAATGACCAAAGCTTGACAATATAACTACATCATAGGCCAGGCATTGTTATGGCTGGATAGAAGGTTGCAAAATGACGACAAAGAAGGATTTAGCTTTTTAGATCCCACATCTTTATTCAATTCTCTCAGCAGATCATTTTGCCTTTAGATGAAATTCTCAAAATTATATATTCAATATTGATTTAAACTAAGTAAGATTAAATTTAGACTTTACGTCATATCTGCTTTAACAAAGGAAAGAACAAGATGGGAGGAGCAGCTGCAAGGTCTTGTAGCAGCGGTAGAAGAAAAAGCAGTCTGACGAAAAATGGCACGTATTCAGTATGTGTACTAGCGGTTATATAACATGCCAGAATGTTCTCGAAAGTACTGGTCTAGGATAAGATCCTGAAACTGCAGTAAGTTAATTATAGGTTGCATGCTCGCGCAGAGCAAAGCCACTGTATTTTCTATATTTTACATGTATATAATACATATTCTTTGTGTCTTGGTGAATACATTCTACCTCGCTGGCAGGTAACAGAAACTGACGATCAAAAGATTGATGAATATTTAATAATTTTGATGAGATTATCTAGGAAAGTAAAATAGTTTAAAACGTATTAAATATGGTTTTCCAGAATGTTTCCTAGCATAGTTTTTAATCTCAGACTAAATGATACACATTATCTGGAAGTTCATATTCTTGTGTCATAAAGTATGCTTTATTGTAATTAGTCTTAGATTGTAAAGTTAAATTTATGAAAATATGATGAGTTAAAAATGTATTGCAGATATTAAACTAGATTTTAATTATATGCAATTTTGAAATTTTAGAGATCTTGCTTCATGTAATTATTTTTAATGTTTTTATTAAATTCTTAATTAATGCTATTATGCATGCATTAGAAAGTGAAATGAAATAATACTTAGGATATCATTTGGCTGCATTCTGTTGTTTCTCAGTTAAACAATTATTCTGCATTCAAAAAATTACTCAAGGATTCTCACGAATACCAGCTCAAACAGTTCCAAAGTATTTCTGCAAAATATACGTAATTACTTAAGAATTGTATCTTTTTGATAATATTATTTAGCCTTTACAAGTTACTGCCAAAATTATTTTGTAAATCAGAAATCTTCGAGGGGATTAGTGTGTCTCGCATAGTTACCCTGGTGCCACACTATAACACTGAAATTGATAGATGTATAATTGAATGTTTAATCAAAAATGTCTAATTCCTCTTTTATGATATTTCAATAATTGATACTACTGAAACAAGAAATATTGGTACATTAACATTTTCTTAATATTCATTGTGTATTTGTTATGATGCATGTATTAATGTCATTACAAGTTAGCATTTGATAATGTTTGTTTCAACAATTTAGGGTTTGATGAAGTGCCACAGAGATTATCGCTTAAAGAATGCGTGCAGGCCAACCACCAACACAAGATATTAAAAAGAGCAATGAAAATGAAGATTTAACTATAAAGAAAAATCTGACTAATATTATTACTCATAACACTTAATTGTTTCATATTATTGTAAATTTATGCGAGTTTTCCTGTATTCTGTTTATTTTGCAACTTATGTTATTGTAAATTCATGTATGTTTTCATTCTTGCTCTGTCATGCATTTCATACTAATCGTTTGTTGTGCATATTAATTATATGTGTATATTACATCATTGAATTACTGTATTTGAATTTTAATAAACCTTTTTTACCATTCAGTAGTACTTTTCCATAAAACCCTGAACATTCTAAACATCCCATATCACTAATCCTGGATTCTAAATAATACTTGAGTTTACTTAATTCATGTATTAATAACGAATTTGAAAAATAATACAATAGTGACATATTTTGAGGTAAAATAAATACTGCTCAATTGGACATTTTAAAATGTTTTTCCTTTTAATAGAGGAACATTTTTTAAGGATTTAATTATTAGTATTTGAATATTGTATTAATATATGATTAATTAGTATATGAATATATTGTGTGTAATGAATAAGTAAGGCAGTGAATAAATTTTGAACAATAATTTCATATGAGGAAATATGATCTGCCTGGGTTAAAAAATTAATCTTTAAATCCTATTTATGAGATTATATGGCTGAAATCTGTAGCCCAAAAGCAGTTAAAGCAACCCACCCCCAAAAAAGAAGACATTTTAAATAGTTTCTTCCAAAACTTGAAATATTTAAACATTACACGACCCTAAATTTCTAGTGAATTTAAAATACTCATTTCATTCAGTTCAGCTACTGGCCATTATATGAAATTTTCCTATATTATTAAAATGTTCCTCATGATTTTGCAAGGTGAAGACCACAAATGTTCTGCCCTCATAACTAATGATGATATAATAGCATGAAGTAGACTTCAGCGTAAGGAATATGGAACTATATATTTTGCTCTTTGTTTATTAATTAGCTCACTTTTAAAAAATTCATATCATATAGTAAGTAGTATTCATAATTTTTCTCATTTTCTTAATATTTCATTGAAGTATTTAAATGTTAATTTAATTAGCAATACCTAATAATGTCAAATGCATATAT